CTACAGTCCCCTCCCCCCTCCTCCAGGCCCCCCCACCCCTTACTCACTGGCACCGGAGCCCTAGTGCTGAAACACATGGGCTTGCCGGCCATGTGTTTCAGCACCAGGGCAAGGGGCCAACCATAGAGACACTGGCAGCCAGAGCGTCTCTATGGAGGACCCAGCCTCCAGTTGCCTCAGGGCATGGTCCCCCATGCCCCGCACCACTTTTTGATACTTCTCTTTTTTTAGACCCCTGAACTTCCAGGGGTCTAATTTTCTCCCCGCATTCCAAGTTTGCAGCATGGGGAACATTTTTTTGTTCCCACACGTGCCTGTTGCCCTGCCTCAAAGGGGTTTGAGGCGGGGCAAGAGGCGTGTACGCACTTGTGTGGATGAGCTCAATGAGTAAGGATTGTGGATGAAACTTGTCAGACTTTGCCCTAAGGATCTACAAAGAAATCTGTCCTAGCCAATCTGCAGTCAGTATAGTCACCATGAAAAAAACCCTAATCAAATTAAAGGAAATGTAAGAAAAACAAATTTGTAAGTTGTACTTGTGTATTTAATATCACTCATCACAAAGCCTTTAATAACTTATTGGACTGTATCATTCAGAGTAATAAAATAAATTTGAAAGCCTAATTAAAAATCCTTTTTGCCATATGGCTAATTACACTTTTAGTGCACCATCTTGTAACAACTCGCACATTCATTATGTGGCTGTCTTAAATGCCAGAGTCCCTGTAGGGTGATGGACTGAGGGGGTTTCCAGCTGATTTTTCAGTAACATGAATGTGCCTTTTCAAGACTGTGTGCGCATTGTGTTCCACACAGAATCAGAAAAATTTTTCTGTTTGAAAACTCAGTGCAAACTATTTTTCAGTCAACCAATGGTAATAGCAAATTTTGTTTTAGAATACAAAATGTGTACCCTTGGTTGTATTCAACCAATAGACTTTCTCATGAAACTTACATGTTCAAGTCACCGGCACACGCAAAAATGATGGATAACTTAAGTAGCATACTATATTACATACCTAGCATCGATCTGCGTTAATTACCAATTGTTGAAAACTGGATTTCATGCAGTGTGAAGCCTACACATAACATGTAGCTAGCTTTATATCTTAAGCAACTTCTTGTGTGAAACCACAAGATCTACATAAAAATTTGGTTCAACCAAAAACCACCTCTAGCAGAAGTAGATTCTTGTTAATCCCGAAAGTTTTCTGCCTATTTGTATACAGACAAGAGGAAAATACTAGCTAAATGCAATACTAATTAAAATCTAAAGAGTTGAAAGCCATGCTGGACAGATTACTTATGAAGTAAAGGGAAGCTATTTGATAATTATCTACATTATGAAATAAAACTACTAGAACTTCAGATATCTCAAATCATTCACTTCACCTCAATTTCCTAGCACTTTAAACACGTGTTTCTTAAAGAAAACCAAAAAGATAAGATTATAAATGCTTGAACAAGCTGGGAACTGTAATTTGTGAGTAATTTTCAATTTCTTTCATTCCAATTGGGAAGGAAGCCTGAGATTTTGAAATTGCTCCTCTCTTCTTCCCTCCTCCCCCATCCTCCCCAATTCAGTTCAGGGCCTTTGGAACACTTTGTTTTGCTAGCATCATTTAAATAAATTAATTTTAAATTGTATATTTTATTAAATACAATATATCATGGGTACATTACATTAAAAATACACATATAATATTTTATCTCACTTAATAGTCACAATGAATCAAAATGACGTTGGAACAAAATGTGTTAAATTCACAACTGTAGAACAGTAGACCAATAGCATAAGCTGCCCGGGTAAGCTGTGAAAACTCCTTCCTTGGGGGCTTTTAAGAAGAGGCAAGATAGCCCTCTGCCTGGGATACTTAAGGAACAGTAATGCTTAGTCTGTGGAAGGGGAAGGATTAGAAGATCCTTCTAACCTTATGGTTCTTTTGTTTTATAAAACATTGATAACCTTTTCTTGTGAAAAACTGGCAGTATCAACAAGCTCCCATAAAATGTTTCTATTTTATCAAACAGCATTGTTTCAACAGATAATTTATTTGTGGAATTTTTTTTTGATCAGCTTCAACAAATGTAAAAATCCTTGGTTCCCACCCATTTCCATTGTATTCAAACTGAAGAATATTTTACGGTTTTCTTTCCCATCTCACCATAAAGGAGCCAAAATAAGTTGCAACTGTTCCCTGGATTCATAACTCCTCAGGGTAGGAAACTATGATAGAAATAAAAAAAGAATAAGTGAATACTATCCTGAACTTTTCTAACTGAATAGTAACTTCCTAAAAACCAGTGGAGGTTTAATTATCCAGAGCAGCGCTGCATGATATCATTTGTAAGGCAGAAGAAGAGGGTGGTTTAGCTAAATATGCTCTAAACAAGACTAAGTAATTGTGATGGTCCCTTTTAGCTTTAAAATGTATTAATCTAAAACAATTAAGAAACACATTGAAAATAGAAAAAAATATGCCTGTAAAGATTAGAACAGACTACTGTGGCCCATCTAATCCTTAAAAAAGGGAGGGAGGAATTTAATCTCTTGGTTTTAAATCAAGTATCCCTCTATTCCCTGTTAGCAGGGATATGCACATTGTGTCCCAATTAAGCAGCAATTGTTTTTTCATGAAGTCACTGTGGTACTGAACATTGTTAGTGATAGATCAATGAACGATCCTGACAAGAAAAAGCAACCAATTGTCAAAGAATTTTTCATTTTGTGGTAAAGTAACATATGCTTTGCGTATCTATTGTACCTTCCATCTATTGTACCTTCCATCCATTGTACCTCTCAAAGAATTTTTTGAGAAATAATGAATTAGACCTCATAAAACCTTCTTGGGGCACAAGCCAGCCAAAGTTATCTTCCATTTTACAGATAAGGAAACTGAGGTATAGAGAAGTTAATTTCCTCAGTATCATACAATAAGGCACTGCTAAAACTGAAATACAGAAACACTGGTTTTCAGAATTTTTCAGAGCTTTAATCCCTAAATTTACTTTTTCTAGAAGCAGAAAAGAAGAAATTAGGAGAAAAATCAAGAATAGGAAATCACAGGTGTTTGAGGTTTGCATTGGCAGAGTTGTTTGAGAGATGTTTGGAGAAATCTTTGTAGTTTCTTGCAAAAATACACCCATAAAGGGAGAGATATGCTGCACATTGGTGTTAGCTGGTATCAGTTGACACAGACCCTGAGTGCACAGTCAACCATTAAATGAAAAAGTGGATTTGATATCTATCACTTGGGACATCTATAGACAATTTATGCCTATGACCAAGTAAAACTGGCCACCAGATATCTCTGCTGTTCAACATCAGATCACCTGAAGAAACTGTTACTAGGAAACTGGAGAAATAACTGCAAGGAAATAGATGAAATTGAAATGCATGTGTTGGCTAGATAACCACACACATCTTATACATACATTATCTTCGTACTATGATACCAAATTATCCATCAAGACAATTTCTTTGGAAATTATTTTAAATAAGAACAAGAAAGCGAGAGATTGATATTATACATGAACTTATTCTTTAAATAAGTCTCCTAAAAATTCTGTTTTAGGATAGTATTTTACAAAGAACTAACATTGGCCAAGTTCTTCTTTTGTTGAAATGAATTAAAAACCCTGCTGCTGTTGAAGTCAATGGGAGCAGAGTTGGTCTGAAATTGAGAGCTTTAGAAAATGTCACCATCATCCTCTCCGAGGTTATACATTTTATTGCTGTGTAGTTTAAAAAACCAAAAAGGTAGAATTCAAACACTGGAAATCATCATAATCTGTTCTTTTTTCTTGTAAATTTGCAAGATTCTGAATATACTCACAATGTATTACTCTTTCCTCTCCCTGAAAAACAGTCTTCATATTTTGTCATCATAAACCAGTTTTTCTATTGTATATAGACAAACTGTGTGAATGAAGCCTTCAGGCTACTTGGTTTGTTAAACTAGGCCATGCAAAATGTGTCTCAGAGTGCTCCACACAGAATTTGATATTGTGAGTGAAATGAAAATTACAAACAAACAAAACAAAAAACCCCAAAAGACAACAGCTTATAAATCAGGGGTGGCCAAAATCCAGCCCATGCAACTGTCAGCTATACATGATATCTTGGAAGATGTAGTTACAGTACTTCGATTTTGAACTTAAGCCTTTAACAGGACCATGGTGGGCTGGCTGGGCACCCTTGTTATAAGCTGCTGTCATTTAGAAATGTCCATGCTTAGGACGGTGGTCTTCCAGAAGCATCTGCCAATGCTTTGCTGTTTTTCCCTTGAAATGCAAGTGTTGACTACAGATTTAGAGCAGGCATATTTGTGGCAAGGATGAAATAAGGACAACAACTGCAAAACTGTGTTGTTTTTATTTTAAACATGCAAAATACAGTTCATGCATCTGCCATTTTGAAAAATCTTTCAGTCCATAGCAGATAAAACCAAAGACGTTTTGGCTATCAACTCTCAATAAATGTTTCAAAATGCTTTACAGTGTAAAGATAAGAAATTTAGCAAAATTTCAACAAACCTGTATAAAAAACAGATACAGATAACTTTTTATTTCAAGGCGACATGCTGTAATGTAAAGAGTTAATTCCTGTTTTCTCATAAAAAGTTTTCAACAATACAACTGCTTAACAGATTTAAGCCTTTAAGGCTACACATGCAAAAAAAATTATTATTTGAGTTAAAAATCACCAAAACGTGCTATTTTTTGTTTGTTTTGTTTTAAAGTACAGTAGTTGTCGTTAGTAGCATTTTTTTTAATTCTGTAAAAGTGTGCGGGGAAGGTTCATGGAGCTAGTGTCCTGGAAGATTCATAATCTGACATACATTTTGGTTTAATCCCTTTGCCATTGTAATAGTCCACCACTTGATTTGGAACTTCAGCCAAAACGCTTTTTGCTAGCGCAGCTGGGGATGCCTGCAGGAAATGGTAAAAAACACAGCGTTAACCCAGGACTATGCAAAAGGTGCTGACTGGTTTTTATAGCCATAGGCATCATGAGGTCATGGTGATGAGTGTGGCTTAAAAACAGAGAAACCAATATCAAACAAGTGACTATTTTAGAGCCTGATCCTGCAAATGCTTTGGTGCTGGCAGACCCCTTTACTGGCATCAAGCCTCATGGAAGACCACATGACTGCACAGACACAAGAGTCCATCCATGCAGATCAGAGCATAGGACTGAGGCCTTACACTACAGCTGCTGCACCTGTGTATATTCTTAGCCTGACTGTGCAACAGAAAAGAACCAATCATAATGAGAAGGACTGTCTCATCAGAAGACTGGGAAGATTTATGTTAAACAAATATTAGACAAAGTTGAACGTGTCTGCAAAATCTCTGTAAGAAGACGGGCCTGAGTGTCAGTCATTCTTTAGCCAATGAATACTGCAAGGTTTAAGTTTTAGGGAAATTTTACCATCTGAATAAAAATACTGTATTTATTCAAATTTAAATGAATTAATTAAAGCATTTCACTAATACCCCATCAGGCTCGACTGGTTATGGCTTCTTGTTACTGCAAGTCTCAGCCTCCCTTTAGACTTGGACCAAAGGTCACCTCCACTCATCCTAGTTGTAATGAGCATTCAGGTTTTCAGGCTGGGGATGTGAGGCTAGCTGTATCACTGCCTTGTGTGCTGTTGGCTATAGAAAAGGCGATGCTCTGTAGCCTAATGGACTACTAGGTAGACCTTTGACTTTTTTTTATGGGCACTGTAACCCTGCCCCCCCAATATAAATTATGAGTTTCAGCTCTGTTGCACTAAGTATGATCTACCATATTGAAACTGGAAACTCCTTGAAGGCAGAGAGAGTTACAGCTATGACCCTCTGCAAGCATGTGGGTCACGCATCATTGGGACTACAGATTACTGCCATTATTAAGGCCCCCTCTGCAAGTTACAGGTATCATGCAATTAACTGGTTAATTGCACAATTATCTTAAGATTAGCTACACGTGCAAAGTAGCTATCATGCCATAAAAAGCTCCAACCAGTTATAAAGGTAGACCTAAAAAATATGTACTAACTTTATAGGTGGTTGCTATTAAACTTTAATTTGCACATGTAGCAGGGTCTCCCTTGGGCTGGGAGCCCTGTCAACTGACAGGGTTTCCAGCTGCAGGAGCACACAATGCCCAGCATGAAGCTCCCAGGCCTGGGGGACTGTGCTTGCTGCAATCTCCCAGGTTCAGGGGTGTGTGAAATCCCCGGGCCTGGTAGAGCGTGGCAGCCATTATCTCCCAGCCCCAGGGTGTGCATGGGCCTGCTCTCAGTTGAGGGGCTTCCCACTGTGGAAACTTGCTTCTTGCCAGTGTAGGGGGGAGCCCAGGATTAGGCTCCCTTCTGCACCAGCAATAAGGTGTAATGGGATCTAATGCATGCTCCCACAGTCACACCTCCTGCCACATATATGCAGTATTGCAGGAGGTGCAACTGTGTGGATTGCATATTTGATCCTATCGTGCCTTTACCTGCATGTGTAGAGGGGGGCCCTAAAACCAGAAACACTGGCTCAGACCACTACAAATTCTTTTCTTTAAATATAGCATGTCTCTGACCGTGGATGTCTGGGAACATCACAGCTAACGGCAAAGGACTTGTCTGGGTATGCTGTTGGTCTGTTGTTAAACTGTCAAAGTGAACTTAGTACTGTAATTAGAGCCCTAGCAGTGGACTCTTGTGACTGAGTTGAGTCCTGTTGGTCTACTCAGGCAAAGAAATGAATCAACAATTGAAGAAGCCCTGTGCTTGGACATGACTAGCTCCAAGCATTTGAATATATCTGTTTCCAAAACCCCTCAAGTGTTGACAAGGTGTGCTAATGAAAGAACCAGCTCCAGCTCCCACTGATTTTGAAGGAAAGGCTCCCGTTTGACTTTGGTAGTTGCAATGGGCCATAAATCACATTATTGAATGTACATCAACAGCTAAGCTCAGTTAAAAGATCCTTTCTTTTTAAACAACTGACTCCTGCAAGGCAGCATTCAATCATGTGGTTACTAACTACTCAGTACAGAATACCTTGTTTTTGCTAGTGGGCACTTTTAACCTCACTCTTTCTAGGTAATGCTTTTGGTTCAGAGCATAGTTGCACTGCCATGTATAAGATGATTAGAATACCTGATTGATTCTTTTCTTATGTCACTGGGCTGGATGCTTCTCTCAAGAGAAACTGAAAATTAGTTTCATATAGGAAGTGAACTGTATGTTTACTTAATGTATTTATAAAGGCATGAATCCAGAAGCGTAGAAAAATACACTTAATTTACATATATTTAACAGTGACTAAATATTATAAAATTCAGAGAAGTACTAGCAAACATTAGAGGAAGCAAAAATATCATTTGTATTGCAAGCCTCATAGTTTATTAGTCATGTGCAAAACTGTGACAGTGAAAAAGAATATATTTTCATATTTAGATTTTGTTGCTGAAATCTGCAGACATTAAGGTACTCAATGAATGAGAAACTTTTGAACAAACAGACAGGGCAGGACATATCCTTCTGATGACTGCACATGTAGATGTTTTTTCCCCAAGAATCAAACGTTCTTGAGCTCTTCCATTTTACTCTTTTTAAAAGAAAAGTGTGGGATTTTCACAAGTGCTCCCATATGTCTCAGTAGAAGCATTTTTGAAAATTCCAGCCCAAATGTGCAAGAACTGGGAACACATTACCCAGTGCTTCCGTGTCAGCTGGAGGGAAAATACACTTCTACAGAAAGGAGTGGAAAAGTAAGGGAAAAAACACAACACATGAATTCAAAAACAAGTCACCAGGGGACCCGGCATGGCTCATTTTTCATATATACTGTGCACCAGCAGTTCCCATTGACTCCACTGGGATGCATGAGCATTCAACAATTAAGATAAATCAGATCAATACAGCATGACTCACCCAGTACTTTCATACTGTATAACCATACAGATAGTACAGGTGGCTGCCTAGGGTGGTAAATTGTAGGGGGATGGCAAAAACAGCACTTTGGGCAGGCAGGCAGCTTGCCAGTGCTCTCGGTGTGCAGGCAGCGCATACATGCTTGGTCAGGCTGGGCTTGGCATGATGCTTCAGGTGGTGAAAATCTTTGCCCTGGGCCTGGACTCATAGACTCACCTTCCTATCCCACCACACAGCCAGTCAGGGCCAGATTAACCCATAGGCAAACCAGACACGTGCCTAGGGCCTGAAGAAGGGGCCCAGTTGTGTTTATTTTACATATTATAATTACTGAGTTTAAAAAAAAAAAAAAAGGAATATAAATATACAGTATTAAGTAGGGGCCCATGAGTTTGTTTGCCTAGGGCCCACGAAAGGGTTAATCCACCCCTGCAGCCAGTCCCATCTTACTTTAAAAAAAGATTTGATCTTTTAAATCAAGGGCAGGCAATTATTTTGGGCGGAGGGCTGCTTACTGAGTTTTGGCAAGCCATTGAGGGCCGCATGACAGGCAGCCAGGGGCAGATAAATATTAATTTTCTAAATTTTTTAGGGGCCCCATGGGCTGGATAGAATAGCCTGGAGGGTGGCACCTGGCCCCCGGGCTGCATTTTGCCCACCCCTGCTTTAAATGGACCTTCTAACAGGGACCATTACTGCTTTATAGAACTCCTTTCACTTGAGTGCAGCTTCAAGTATAGTTGTGCAAGCTGGTGGATCTTATTCCAAAATTGGGGCTGGCTGTGGTAGAGCACTGGACTCATTCTCACTGCATCGGAAATATGCACCGACTCTAATGCCCCCTTTTTGCCAATTGTCAAGCTAACATATTGTGCACTGTTTTTGGTGTAAACGTGACTAAGACCCTACCCTTTGTTCTGTAAAGTGTACATGTGCCAATGGACACTCTAAAAATGTTCTTAGGAATTTAACGCAGCTGGTATATTCATTTTGCTACACAATTTTTTGCTGCATTTAAATGTGACGCCTGAACAGCAGAGCAACAAGTACGCTGATATGAATACTTCCTTAACTGAGGTTAACACAAAACAAACAGATCAACAAGCAGTAGAAAAATAATCTCCTATGATGATAATTGGTATATATTACAAATGACTGTTGATTCATTTCTCAAGCCTCACCCTGCCTAATCCTTAATTACAAAGTACAGTGGAAAACATTGCTCCTCGCTGAGGTAAGAGCTTAGCTTTCGGCACTCATCCATGGTATGTGTTATTAAATCACACGTGTTAGGCTTTGTGATTAAACACAAAAGAGAATGGAATATAAGCCATGCATTGCATTAGATTTGTGCAGAGTAAATCTGTCATGCCTCCAAAAAGCAGAAAAATTCAGTCTTTAAAATACCCATTGTAGAATGGCATTTTGTCACACAATTTTTATATTCTTGTACATTTACCCATTGTCCATGGGCATCATTATTCTACCTTTATAAGTGAAGGAAAAACAAATTGTTTGGACAATGATAATTTTGAAGGCCAGAAATTCAGTTCAGGGAAAACACTTTTTCTATTTTCATGCTACTGTGTAGTAGCCAACGTGGAACCCAGTCAAAATGCACAATGCTTTTTCTATATGGGACAATTACTTTTAATGATAGTGATTATCTGGATGGTTAAAACCCACCAAAATTACCATCATTTCTACAGCTTCAAGAGTGTGCCTGGTAGAAAGATATTCAAGAAGGTAAGCTTGCTGTCTTGAGAGATGCTTATTCTACAAGGGTCTTATCTTGCCAAGTTATACTTGACACCTTGCAGGGTGATCTTAGCACTTCACAGCTTTAGGCCCTTACTTCCTATTCAAATCCTAATTCAGCAAAGAAAGTCTTTAAGAGCACATTCAGTTCTAAGCATATGCGTAATCCTAATGAATTAAATGAAACTACTTGTGTGCTTAATTATGCACATGCTTAAGTGTTTTCCTGCACCTGTACTAAACTCAATCTTACAAAGT